GTGATATTATTCTAGGAAAGAGAAATGAAAGGGGAGAAAGATTAAAACTGTCTTAAAGAAGAATTTGAAAAATTAAATACATTTTTCAAACTACCTCCAAGACGCTTGTATATTTGGGTCTCACCGCAAGATCAACAGGAAACGAAATACGGAAATTGATTGCATAATGGTAAACAAGAGATTCCGTAATGGATACCTGTCAGTTAAATGTTACCCAGATGCTGGCATATCCTGATATCATGTTCCTCTTGTTATAAAATTTAGGTTTAGATTTAAGAAGGTTACAAAAAATGCGATATAAGAAAACTGAAAGGTAAGGAAGCAAAAGAGACACACAAAAGCTAAATAACACAGAGCAAATATATAATGCAGATGAATCACGCTAGAATATATGTGAAACCTTTAACAAGATTAAAAAAGATCATCGAATAGGAAATAAAAAGAAGAAACGTTGGATGAATGACAATATACTTTAACGCATGGAAGAAAGAAGAAAAATAAAAAATAAAAACAACAAAAGAATGTAAGTACACCAATATTGAGTATACCTAATTAGCAATTAGAATATTATAATAATTATAACCTAGAAATTTGCAATTATACCAAATACATATAAGCACTCTTTAATGATAAAAGATCCGAACAACCTCCGTCATACATAAGTCATGACCACTTACCAATCACATCAGATGAAGAGGAAAAAGCAATATCACAACCAAAAGATGGCAAAGCTCCTGGACCTGGCAATGTATATGAACTCATAACACTATTTAACACCGACAAACAAAAATATTTAATGACATATATTTAAGCGAAGTAATACCAGAAACTTGGAGAGCATGGAGAACTATCACTAATCTAAAAAAAAATACCCATAACTCCTTAAACAACTCAATTCCTATAGAAAAGTAGGAAAATCACTATAAAAATTTACTACAAGAGTCCAGATTGGAATATATGGGAGAGAAATACAGTATGGAGAGACAAACAAATAGTAACATTAATTCAACTCACAACGAGGTCCGTACTGCGTTAATTAAAATGAAAATAACTTTTCTAACGAATCAATGCTGCCAACAAATTAAAGTACCATCTGAATGGAAAACCGCTTACCAAGTGTCCATCTTTAAAAAGGGTAATCGAAAAGATCCTAACTGTTACAGAGGATTAAATGTCCTACTTACTTTCGGGAGATTGTTTGGTCTAGATGTCCTACAAGATGATGTAGGACATCTAATTAGCGAAGACCAAAGTGGATTTACGCCTGGTAAGTTACAAGACTTAAATTGTAGCAAGCTTTATAACAACTCGGCATTAGTCCATACCTTTTAGGAATAATCACAGAAGTATACAGGGATAACACTACTTACCTAAAAATTGCAAATAGACTATCAGAGGATACTAAAGGACTAAGACAAGGATGCACTATGTCACTCTTACTGTTTAATTTATATATTAAGGCAGCCCTCCAAAATTGGAAAAACCACTGCCAGGGAATGGGAATCCCCATAGGAAATGACGTACTATTCTCCCTGAACTTTGCGGATGACCAAGTCGTCCTAGCTGAAGATTCTTATGATCTAGAATTTATGATAAAGCGTCTATACAGATAATATGTAAAATGGGGGTTACAAGTCAGCATGAAGAAAACAGAATATTTAGTTACCAATTCAGATGCAAGGTTTGAAGTGTTGATAGACGAGGACGTGGAAATCAAACAAGTGAAAAAATTTAAATATTTAGGTGCACTCATTGATAAAAACGGTTTGGGAGAAACCGAAATTAAACACAGAATTTATCGGGGACGTAAAATTGTAGGAAACTCCTTATGGTGAGATCGCAACATTTCCAAAAGGAACAAAAAAAGAATAGGGCAAACCATGATTGAATCAGTTCTTTGTTATAGCTCTGAAGCATGGACAATGATATGCAGACCTGAAGAGAAGATTTTTGGCAGTTGAAAAGGATTATTTGAGAAGGAGTGAATATCAAGGGTGGACAGGAAGACCAACGAATCTATAATAAATAACATGAATGCTACAGAAAGTTCCATTGACAGAATAGAAAGAAGAGGTTTAAAATGGTTTAAACACCTAGTGAGAATACCTGACGAACGTTGGCCCCAAAACTTCACAGATGGAAGCCCTCTGGAAGAAGAAAAAAAGGTAGACCTCGACGCTCATAGAATGAAGGAATTAGAAGAGAGATGAAATCGACAGGTTTGGAGTAGGAGCATGCCTTGAACCGGAAGAATTGGCGGAGGAGAACGGGAATACGGCGATAGCCGTCTCCAAAATGTATTGTATTTACAAGTTGGATCCTGTATTATATATATATATATATATATATATATATATATATATATATATATATATAATATATATATATAATATATATATATAATATATATATATATATAATACCAGAAGCATAGCAAGTCTTTTTACCAAAGAAAACAAGATCCGTATCCTGTAGTGATTTCCGAACCATCAGCCTAATGAGCCGTCTTTAAATCATACATCAAATATATAGGAAAAAATTAGCCATAGCCATATTGTGCTTCACATCTTTCTAGTCACGGTCTGACGGCACATATCCAGCCCTAGTACGTTGGGGACTGGATGTTCTTCTGCCGCACCTTTTGGGAATTTTTAGAACTTCCTTGGCTCTTAGATATATTCCTAGGGAGTGAAGAGAGAGAGGTACGTGTATTAAAAATCAGGTACGATGGACTTCACTCTACCAAAGGCTTTTTGATCAATTAGCTTAACATTGTTTATCTTAAAAATATTTAAAGGCTATGCGAGAGGTACATACGGGATGAATCTCTGTGTCATAATCCACCTTACCCAAATCAGCATGCATATACTTCGGGAAGATTCTAAACTGCATTAAGTAGTGGGAATAATTAAAAGATCGCTGGATGATAAAGAATATATCCTAGATATACTCATAGACACTGAGGAAGCGTTTGATAAAACGATATTCCCAACTATCATTCAACATCTTAATGTCAGAAATATTCCCCTGGCCATAAGCGAATGGATATTCAGTACGCTCTCTGACAGAGCAATAAGCATAAATGTAGAAGACGTTTCTGTTGGAGGCATGGTTACGAGGGGGTGTCCACAAGGAGGGATGTTATCACCACCCCTCTAAAACATAGTTCTAGACACCATGGTTGATCAACACAGCAGCTACGGGTTGTACACAATAGCCTCTACAGACAATATTGGTATTCTGCAAGGCGTAAGTTTGATAACACACTATGTGAGAGATTACAAGTTGCTCTCCGATTAACAGAAACATGGTGCAATTAACACGCACTATCTATAAATTCTAAGAAGGCAGAAATGGTGCTCTTGGCCAGAAAAAGAAGAATAACGGGCTTAATACCCTCAAGCATTCTAAACTACAGTCTAAACTTTTTTGAAGAGGTGAAATACCTTGGCATTACCGTTGAGAGGAAGTTAACATGGAGCTCCCACTTAGATGGTAGAGATAAAAGAGCATATATTTCGCCCAGGGTGATTGCAAGGATCGTTACTGCTGTTATTAGGACAATGCTAATTTACGGAGCTATTGCTTGAATACCAAAAGTGCTACAAACAACAACGATTAACAAACTAAACCATATTCAGCGGATCGTATGCATAAATATAACAGGTGCCATGCAAACAATACCATCTGCTGCAATGGAGTGAGTTATTGGCATCACCCCTCTAGACATACATGTCAAAGAGGTAGTGCTGGTGACAATGATGCGATAGATATAGAAATGGGACAATTGAAAACTCGTTTCTGGCGGGGAGATTGGAAAGCGCTACCCCTGCTACATTTAGACTGCGACTCAAATAAACCAAAGTTTGTCTTTTACAAACCCTACAAAATCGAAACAAGACAGTATAGGGCGTCAGACGTGGTAAATGCGTATTGCATCTACATCGATGGCTCCAAAATTGAAAAAGGCTAAGGATGCGGGATACACTCCAGATCACTACAGAACAATAAAGTAGGGTATGGGCAAAAATGCCAGCGTAGTTAAGACAGAACTGGCTGGTATCTCCATAGCCGCAAAAAAGATAACCCAAAAAGATATAGCCGGGAAAACTATAATAATCTGCACAGGTAGCAGACAAGCGCTACTAACCTCGGATAGACCACGTGTCACATCAGGGTTAGTAATGGAGTGTCACGAGTCACAACTTAAGCTTCAGATGGTAATAACATCATTATGAGGTGGGTTAAAGGACACAATAAGTATAACGGCAACCACATTACTGACCAATCAGCTAGTAAGACGGCAGGCCTAAGACTCTTAGGATCTGGGGACCTTAAAAAGAACCAAAACAAAATAATTTGTTTAATTTGTGTTTTGAGAGATAGTAGTGGGTAAAAATCAAGAAAGAGGTCATAACGCTTCATGTCGTTACAAACCGGGTTAGTGTCAATGAAACGGTCATTTTAGGTTCGGTGGTTTTACTTACATCCAAAACTTCATTTCGCTCCTATATAACCAGAACTTCAATTCATTTCTGATCGAAGATTCTGTACACTCAAGTCGATGGAATAGCATTGAACAAATAATTTTTTTTATTGGGTTAATGCCTCGACAACTATGATCATTGGCATGGTACAGTCAGGTACCTAGTGTAGTGTGTGTGTGTAGAGTAATTGTCTTAATACTTAGCAAAGTCGACGTCATTGTCTTTGCTAAGAGACGCTAATTGTATCCGAACGTCTGCGGTCCCTCTGGTGAGTACCGATCGCACAAGGATAGAAATTATTTTCATTTATTAATTTTTAATAAACGAAAATTTCCACCCAAATGAGATTCGAACTCACGACCTTTAGATTTAAAGGTAGGCGCTCTTACCACTGAGCCACAGAGGGGTTGAACAAATAATGAAAATTAATTATCTAGCGATTATACTGTGTAACTATGGAGACGTTGAAATAGAAGTAAGAGTACTTGTTATTTTCATATTACTGTCAATTTTGAAATGTTTCATATTGATTATTCGCAATAGTTTTTAATTAAAAATGAAAAAAACTTAGTAAGTTGTTTGAGCCTATTTTACCTATTATTTAAGTATTGCGTAAATATGTAGCAAACGTATAAAATATAAAGGACATTTATAAAAATATAATTTAACGGTTTGTTTATTTTAGTACTGTTCGAAGAAATGCTGGAAAAGTTTCCACAGTCGTTAATAGACCAGTTTATGAACTAGATAATTTAAATGAACAATTTCAATATGAAATGCCGCATAAAACAAGTAAGTTTTATTTATCCAGTATATTTCAATAGGTAATAATATTTTAATTTTTTTTTAAGAAAACATGATTTACGCTCTACAACCCATAGTGGGTCTTGGTCTACTCCAGGATAAGCTTCCATGTCTGCTTATTCTTCACCTTAGTTTTCCAATTTCGTACTCTCTTAATACTCTTAAGTCTGCCTCCCTCCACCTGGTCCTCAAGTCGTGCTCTGGGCGTGCCCCTGTCGCTCATTCCATCAGTTTGGTTATAAATGTGTTTCGGCGACTCCACCTTATTCATTTTCTCTATGTGGCCTAGCCACTGCAGTTTGTTTATTTTGATGGAACTAGTAATTTTAGGTTCACTATAAAGGCAGTAAATCTCAAAATTTTAGCCTTATGCCACAATCATTTTTTTCCATGCCTTTATAAATAGGTTTGGGTATTTTACGTTGAAAACAGCATAAACTTTCTTCATTGCTTTTTGTCATCGTCTATGTTTCTGATGCGTAGGCGAGGACGGCGTGATAGTTCCTATGTTTGACGAGTTCTTTATATTAATATTATCTTTCTTTTTCTAACTATGTTTGTTATTAAAGTATTCTTCTTCTTTCTGTGCTCAGCTCATTTATCATGCATTAGCTATCAAATTGGCTATATTAATTTTGTTGATGGCATATTATTAAAAGAAGTATATTATATATCTCTCTGGGAGACACATAACATGGCCAAAATATTCCAGTTAGCAATTTTTAATAGTTCTGACCACTTCTGTAACGTTTCCCATCCGCTGCTAAACAACTTCGTTACGAATTCTATCAACCCAACAGATTTCAAAGGCTCAAAATTTTCTTAGAAGTGTATTCATTAAGGTCCCGTCGACACCATATAAAAGAACAGAGAACACATAACATCTTACTAATCTAATTTTCACTCTCAAAGTAATATTGTTTACACATAAGATTTTCTTCATCTTAAAAAATGCAGCTCTGGCCTTCTCTATCCGTATTCAAATTTCTTTGCTAATGTCATAGTTCTTATTTAGGTTACAACCAATATAAGTTAGGTCTCTCCATAAGCTGTTACCACTTCTGGTTTATTGGCGTTTAACTGTCAACTATCTTAATGTGATCTGTTAAAGTATTGGCCAGATATATTCATCTGTTAATTTCTCCACTTATTGCATTATTCTGGTTGATTTGTGAGCCTAGATGCATGAACTCTGTTACGCCTTCGAAAGTATATGTTCCAATCGTTAGATATTTGGGTTACTCTATCTGCAGCTTCCTATACTTAGTTTTACTGTATTAACATGTAGTCCCATTGTTTTTGTTGCTTCTTTTAATGCCGTGAACGATTGGAACAGGTTCGCCTTTCTTCTTGAAATACGCTAGTATTTGTACACTCCTATTGATAATGGTTTCTCTTGTTGTTATCTAAAAAATCTTCCATTTCAGCTTCATCATGAGGTAATGATTTTGTTGTATGTATTAATTGGTAAGGAGTGACAAATTTGTAGTTTAATTTCAGATTCAATCTTATTCGATAAAGAAAAAGTAGACTCATTTTTAAAACTTTGTGGTGCCTCCTTGTTGAGATGTTTTGCAGTGTCATTGAACTGTCATATTCATGTTGTTGTTGGGTTTATTTAAATGTAAATAGAAGTGAAACTTTAAATAAATGGTAATTATCTTCGATGAGGTCTAACGTTATTAATCTTTACCTTGGAGTTTTCTTCTTCTTCTTCTTCTCGTGCCACTCCTAGCGGAGATTGGAAATCATCATGGCCACTGCGACTTTGTTAGCAGCGCGCCTGAAAAGTTCAATCGAGTTTTCTTGCATACACAGAAATCGAGTTTTGTAATTGAATTCTATCGAATTCTAACTGAAATAAGTATTGATTTCTATCATCTAAAAGTCAGATTCGTTATTATCAGTCTCTCATTTATGTCATCCCAGGTAGTGTAATATTAAAATTTTTTAAGCATCTAGCTACTTTATATTTAGCCCTCTTATCTTTTGTAACCCACTGTAGAAGTAGTTCTATTCTCTAATGTTTTCTGAACATTGTTTCTTTTGTTTTGTTTTAGTAGTCACTGTGATATTTATGTTCAATATACTCATTTGGTGTAATATTTAATTAATCTTTTTAATAAAACCTTGTATGTTTCAAATTCAAAAATTTGCAGGCGTATAGTCGTTAATGGATTAGTTAACTACGAGTTTTTGCAGCATGTTAATCCTTTTCCTAGTAATAGAAAGTTGCACAACACTTGACTTTAAGATATAGGTTTAATTTTGGTGTCTCATAAACAAATTAACTACTTTATTTTCTACTGTTTGAGAACATCATCCACTCAGCTTTTTGATCGAATTGTATTTTACTTACCTTCTTCTTCTTCTATGGCACTACAGCCTAAATTAAGCCTTGGCCTTCTTTATTTTTGCCTCCAACCTTGCTTGTCTGTGGCTGATCTTCTCCATACACGGACTCCCAAAAGGTCTTGTGCGTCGCTGTTTACTTTGTCTTCCCAACGCTTTCTTGGCTTTCTAACCGGTCTCTTTCCCTGCGTCCTAGTATTCAGTGCTCTTTTGGTAGCCTATTCTCTCCAATTCTTATCACATATCTGGCACATTGAAATCTTTGTATTCTAATGAAGTCTGACAGTGGTGCTTCCTTATTAAGTTGATACTAATTCTAAAGATTCTATTTGCCCTTACAGCTCCTTGTATAGTACTTTTCTTTCGAATGTATCGAGTTTTCTTTTGGATGTTTCTTTCATGACCCTTGCTTCACGCTTCACTGCCATTCGACTATTGGTCGAATTAAGGTTTTATAGATTCTCATCTTTGTATTTGGGTACACATTTTTAGACCGAAATATATGGGAGAGGGCAATATAAGCTCTGTTTGCCTGCGTTATTCTCTTCCGTATCTTACCATTTTCTGATCCGTCAGGATATATTTCTAGTCCCAGGTATGTAAACTTTTCAACCGCTTCAATGCCATCTTCATGTATAATGTTTTGTGGGACTATATTTCTTCTCGTCTGTATCATTATTTTTGTTTTTTCTGTGTTAATTTCCAGACCTAGCGTTTTTGTTTACGTTTTTAACTCTGCGTATGTTTTTTGGGGCCAGCCCATCTCCCTGCTTTTTTCCCTGCAAAATTTTAAAAAAGTGCTCGGTGGTTTTGTATTTGTACACATATTAGAGTTTTATGCATTGTGGCTTTAATAAGTCTAATTAGCTTGTGTGGTATTGCTAATTCAGCCAATATATTGAGTTTGTTTCTTTCGACTGAGTCGTATGCCTGTTTGAAGTCTATAAAAAAGTTGTGAACATCAATGTCATGTTCCCACGATTTACTCAAGATCTGTTTGACTGTAAATATTTTATCCAGTGTCGATTTTTTTCCCGTCGGAAGCCTGTCTGATACTCTCCAGTAATATTTTCTGCTAGTGGTTGGAGCCGCTGGTTTATAATATACATGAGGACTTTATATGCTGTACATAGTAGAGAAATTCCACGATAGTTTTTGCACTATAGTTTGTCTCCTTTTTATAGATCGAGCATAATATACTTTTCTTCCAGTCGTCGGATATTTTCTCTTCTTGCCATATGTCTTTGATGCGCGAGTGGATGTGACTTGCTAGGTGGTCGCCACCTACCTTTTTTTTTTGGGCCTTAATAGCTTCAAGAACTTCCTCTATGGTTGGAGCTTCTACTCCATTCTCTATTTCATTCTCTTCTACGTAGTTTGTACCCATTTCATCTTCCATGCCTACTTGTGTATTTAGTAGGTTCTGAAAATAATGCTTCCAAGTTTCTGTGACTTTGGTCTACTGCTGACTGTTAACTGTTGGTCACTGATTATTTGCTCACTTTAATCTTTACACAGACTTGGTTGAGGTGTATACCCACTTTTTATATTTTTTAGGTATTCGTAAGTCCCTATAATTTCGTTGTTTTTGAAATTTTTTTCCATTTTTTGTATTTTTTTATTTTTAGAGGCTCTTCTTTTATTTCTACATATCTTGTTTGCTTTCCGTCTTGCGACTTCAAATAATGTTCGTCTTTCCCGTGTTCTTCTTATTATATACATTTTGTGTGCTTTATTTCTTTCCTCTATTCCGCTGTCAGTACCGCTGTTTTGATATTATACCATTTGCCATCTATGGAGTGCAGTTCTAGCGTCCTTAACTTATTTGCAACTTCTTTCTCAAACTTCTCTTTACATTCTGAATTTTTAGTTTTTTTAGGTCCAGTTTGTTTGTTCTTTGTTGTCTTTCGTTTCTTTCTTTGTTAACTCTGCATCTAAATTTGGTTTAGAGTAAAAGATGGTCTGATCCACAGCATGCTTCTCGTTGTGTTCTCACATCTGAGATACTAGTGGCTGTCCTTTTGTCTATCAGCACATGGTCTATTTGATTGATTGTGACATCCATGATATTTTGTGTATGTCCTAATGTGGGAAGCATGTGAAACTTATAGCTATGTTTTTACTGGTGGTAGACTTGATCAAAAACTTCGTATTAACGCCTGTTTCAGTTTTACTTACCACCTAACTGCTAACCTGGACAGGTGGGGAATATTTCCTTATCCGCAACCTGTGGACGAGCTCCCTAAATAAATATCCAAATAAAAAGACTCAATTTATGGCTTAAATGATACAGCCAGTCAAATATGGTACGAAGTAAAATCGGCTTTATTGTATTTAAAAGAATCTTTCGTTGTATTTGAATGACTGTGGTACCTCATGTAAGTACTGTTACGACAAAGAAGACTAACACAACTAAAAAAAAATAAATAAAAAAAACGTATATCACGAATATCAACTGTAATATGATCTTCTGGACTTTTTCCATGGTATTTATCTTTTATGATTTTTATCTATTCGTAACGATATTCATGTAATAGTGGCTATAGAAATTTAATATTTGATTAAAGATATGATTTCTCATTTTTAAATAAAAAAAATTCTGAAATTATTAAAAGGATTCTAGTTGGACACCGAATAAGATATTTATTTAACAATGTATTTGCAATATACACAGTTTCAAAAGTTATGTATTACACCAAAATTTTCGCTATTATTAACCATTTCAGAAAGTACCATTATCAATCATTTATAAAAAAAATATATCATTCCGTTGGCGATATTTTTTGTTTTAAAATAAATACTGTTTTTTTAATAATAAAAAACTAAAAACTAGAAAATTTGTGTCTAATTAAAATGTATTTAACAATTTTAATATCGTGTATTTCCACCAAGGGCATCGATGCAAACGTGAATCCGAGCTCTAATACTGCTTACAAGTCAATCCATCATTTCCTTTGGAAGATTCTTCCATTATTCTCTACAGGCAAATGTAACTTCATGATGGGTTATAGGAGGATTCCTTTGAGCAAGAATAGCTCTGGAGAGCACATTTCATGCATGTTAAATGGGATTAATGTCTGGAGACATCGCAGGCCATTCCAAACGCGAATACCATCTGCTTCAAGATAGTCATTAACCGCTTAAGCCCTATGTGGGCGGGTGTTACCATCCATAAATACAAAATTTTCATCCACAGCTCCGCGCCATAATCACACATAAGGTTCTAAAATCCGTGTGATGACCATCAATTCCATGCATCCACGTATCATAATACCTGCCCAAAACAAAACACTGCCACCAGCGAAAGGAAGTACTGGACGGGCATTTGCTAGTTGTGCAGCTCTTTTTGGCTCTCGCCAGATACGAATTTGCCTCATCTCTCTCTTCAATCCTGACCCCCCAGGGGGAGTGTAGTGGTCGACGTAATGTCGTGTATTGTCCGTCTCCAGAGATCTCTGTCTCTGGTCCATTTCTTTTAATTCATGCATAGGCCTTTGGCATATTCCTGTAATTTGATCTATCCATCTTGTTGGGGATCTTCCTCGTGATTTTCGGCCTTCTACCTTTCCTTGTATTATGAGTCTTTTCATGTTTTCTGTGTTTGCTCTCATAACATGCCCAAAATATTTTAATTGTTGGAGATGGACTTTACTAGAGAGTCGTTGGCTAACTTTTAGCTCTCTTAAAATTGAATTATTTGTTCTACGGTCGGTCCAAGGAATTCGTAACATTCGTCTCCAACAGAACATTTCAGTGGCGTCTATCTTTTTTCTCTCCGATTGTCTCAGAGTCCAAGATTCACATCCGTAGGTCAGTATTGGGAATATTAAGCAGTTGATCAACCTCATCTTTATCGCTCTTGAAATTTGACAGTCCTTCCATATTTTGGTCATTTTTGCTGTGGCAACTTTTGCTAGATCACATCTACGTTTAATCTCTTCTTGTAATGACCCTGTGTTTGTGATTAATGATCCCAGATATAAGTATGAGCTCACAACCTCGAACCGGTCAATTGTGGTTATGTGTGGATGATTGTTGTGTAGTCTATCCACTATCATGATCTTTGTCTTTCATATGTTTAATTGCAGACCAAATATTTGACTTTCGTTTTCGATCAGTCGTATAAGTTCTATCAGCTCTGCTCGACTATTTGCAAGAAGGGCTGTGTCATCTGCGAAACGTAGGTTGTTTAGTTTATGACCATTTATTGAGATGCCCTTTTCCTATCCTTCAAGTGCTCTTCGCATAATATACTCCCTATATATGTTGAATAATTGTGGAGATAGTATACATCCTTGTCTGACACCCCGTTCTGGATGAAATTCGTTCGAAAGTGTGTCAAGTACTTTAACTGATCCAGTAGTGTGTTCATATAGTTCGGTTATAAGCGTAATTAGATGTTGTGGATTTGCCTCAAATCACTATTTAAACAGATTCTGGCCTTGACTTGGAATTCGTCTCCATAAGCCTATTCCATATGTTTGAGACATCACCCTGAGAAACACCCACTATTGCTGCCACGAACCGCCGTGAATGGTCTTCTTCAACTAAACGATTATTTTAGCACAGTCTAACTCAGAAATTAAATTAAGATTCATTATAAATTACGTTTTCACAAATTTTACTAGAATAAATTTTTCAAATATTTACACCTGGATAAAACCGAATCAATTAAATGGTATTATATTAAATGGTAATTAAAATTTAAATAAAATAAAAACCAAAAAAGATATAGGTAGGTATATATAAGATATATTTTATATGAAAAAGGCTTATTAAAGATATGATACGGATACGGAATTATAAAAGTATCAAAATCGTGAATACAAAGGGTGATGCATAGCGTTTGAAACTATGTGTATAATGGCATTTCAGTTAATTAAATTATTTCAAGCAAGATAAACAAGACATCACAAGATAAACGTAAACTATACCTATTACTAGATCTAATATGGTGATTTTTAGTTAAAGAAAGATGTGTGGAAGCATGGGAAAGAGTGGATTTTATTGAATGTCTAAAAAGAACTTTCCCGATAGTGGTTTGGATGCGGGAATACCATTGGAAGTATGATCTTTTATCTGATTTTATTAGTGGTGTAACAATGGCTGTTTTACATATACCTCAGGTTAGTAAAATATATTTTCACAATGTATTAGGCTAATTAGATATTTATTTAATGAAAATGGCAGCTATAGGTCCGGAAAAATATATAACAAGAAACAAAGGAATAGAAATTCTGAAACTAGAATTATCATAAAATATCATTGCATAGAATATTGTAACGGGATTTATTAAGCATCAGATCTAAGTTATCTTTTAATAACATGACACATTATTGCGAAACTTGACGCACGCTGACCTAGTGAAATTTGCAATGTAATCAAAAGCTTATTAAATAACGTGTACAAATTAAACAAGGGCAAAAAATATTATATCAACAAACGCACGTGAGTTTAATAGCTGGAAATCACGGGATTTGCATTATTATTAAGAATGAAGAATCAAGAGATCGGTAGAAGTTAGTGTTGTCATCTGTCAACTGGGTACTCTCTATTATTGTACTAAGAGAACTAATAAAGGAATTATAAGTATCTAGAGAGTTCGAATAATTAACCACCTGCAGGGGATAAACTACCCCTAGAGTTCCACTATATGGAACTCTTGATGGAAGCAATCTCATAAACATTACAAGGATACATACAACATTATTATAACATTAATTGTTTGAATGGATATTTTCTTTGTATGTGTACCTATATTATTATATATGTTGCCCACCTATCTAACCGTGGTTTATGTCTTACGTGTTATAATTGAATCGCTCTGATGAACCTTTGAGTGGAAAAAAGGTTCTCCCTATACTTGTATGAATAAACATTAATATTTACCTAGATGTAATTACGTAACTAAGGGTTCTAAACCAATGCCAAAAATATTTAAAAAAAGGCAATTTACTTTCTTACTATCTATTTTATATTCCGGCTTTTTTATATAATAGATAAATTATTATTTACAAACTATGACGAACCTAGTTACTTGTAGTTTTGCAATCAATAATAAAATTGTCCAACTACAACGTCAACAAAGCACTGCAAACCATATTCAAACAATATCTATCAACTCACAATTCTGGCATGATTCTGAAACTTTTTTTTGTGGCATATTTTTTTATTATTTCTACTGTATTTACTTTTTAAAGTTTGTAATTCACAATTGTTCTAATTGTGACTGTAAAATCCATGACGTTTGATTTTAGAGCAGAGGAGGTTGACGTAGTTGGTTGTTGAGGATAGTCTATAGGTTTTAGCAAATCCGTAAAAAATAAAGCACCATTATCAAAGGTTAAATCAACCTGAAAAGAAAAAAATATATTAGAATAATGTATTTAAATAAATAGCAAACAAAAGAAATACTTTAAAACAAACTACTGCATTGACAAACTGTGCTACGATAGTATGCGGTATAGTGTAGAATGCTAAATAAGTCAATTTTGTTGTGGCTTATTCCCATTAAAATAGTAAATTGATATGACAAAGTATCAATTTGACAAAATTAAAACAATAATCTCTTATGATTTATGTACCTTTTTTCTATTTTTTCAGAACGGTTTGCATACATATAATGAAAATCTGTGAATAAAACGTGTAAATCAAAACAATTATTGTTTTAATTCTACAAACTAATACTTTGTCATATCCATTTATTATTGTTGACTTATCGATAATTAGAGATATAAGAAAAGATTATTTGTAAATTTAAATAATCTTATATACTAAAAGGCTAAGCCCTTTTCTTGTGCGCAATACTCCTCCTAAACGGTGATAGATAGGAGAATAATTTTTTCGAATAAGTAAACAGATTGTTGAGTAGATTCCCCCTAAGGTTTCAAATTTAAAAAATTCGAACCGGTTTAAAAATGACGGCTATAAAATGAATTTTTCCTATAGTATAGGAATTTTACAGGTTTCATTCTTCAAAATTTACAGTCCTAATTTTCAATGTATTTTTAAAATATGACCGCGTCTACGTTTTTTCTTATACTTACTGATTGAATTTAGAATTATGAAACCGGAAGTATTTACTTCCCTATTTTCGGATTTAGTTTTGAAAATTATGGTTTCTTTCACGGTGTTCCAGAGCATATGAACGGGGCCGCGAGTTCTCAAACCGAGTTCTTTTTCTTAAACGTGGCATTTTACAACCAAAAATATGCAAAAAAAGTTACTTCCGGTTTTACTTCCGTTTTTTATTTAAGAGGGGCGGAGTCTAACAATCATATTGTTTCCGTTTCCTAATGTAAATCTTCCTGAAAATCCTAAAAAACTACTGTATCGATTTTCAATTTAAAAAAAATTGGCGTCGATACAGTTTATTTTTAGGATTTTTGGAAAATTTACACCAGGCGACGGAAACGATGGATCGTTAGACTCCGCCATTCTCAAATATCAGCAAAACTTACATCAAAACTCGATGTCCGCTAGTAAATTCTTATAACGTATATTCAAACGTAATAAAAACATCCAACAGTAGTTAATTAAAAATGTAATTTTCAGTACATCAAAAATTGTAGCTCAATAAATTACTCATAAATAAACTACTTACAGGCTTTGGCTTAGTCAGCAATTTTTCCAATTCACTGGAAAATTTTTCGTCTTGAATTTTCGTGCTTGATTTTTTAAGGCACAGATTTTGTTGAATTTGATATTTTTTGTCATTTTTGGTGTAAATTCTATAAATACACTAAATATTACATAGCTCTTAGGGCTCTTGTTAACGACAACGGTCAACGTGTCGCTTTTGACACCGTCCCGTTGGCCGTTGCTCAGTTTCTTTCAGGTTTTATGGCCTTGCTGTTTCACCTAAATAAAACTGATCGCATTCACAAGGTATTTTATAAATACAATTCTTTGTCCTTTCTTGTTCATTGTTAGGTTTGGTTTTAGACAAAACAGATCTCAATGTGTTTGTTGTTTTGAATGTTGTTGAAATGTTGAATTTATTCCCTATTCCCTTAAGTTTTCTGATAATTCTTTTATGTATGGTATTGCTATTTTCCTTATATTTTTCCTTGTGTAGGCTGTAGGATCTCATATAGAGTTTTTACGTTTTTAAATAACAAACATAAAAATAAGAACTTAGTTGAAAGTAAACTAAATGCATGACCAAATACTTACCATGTCGGGATATATGTATGTCGGGATGTAATTATGAGGTTTCTTTCCTGGTTTTTTCCTCATAATTTAATATGGAACAGGAGAATTTAACTTCCTTCATGACATGTATTTGTCTTTTTAAAGACAAATATATGCTATGATTTTTTTCTGACGGATATTCTCAAGTTAAAGTTGATCTCATGTAACCGAATGAACCATCTTACGAGTAAAGTCGTCCCAGGAACGCAACTCAACAATATTGGTAACAGTGGCAGCTCGTGGCTTGAGAGGCAAGGTCGGCAAGGTATTTTTTGTCTCCACAGATAGGTATACCGTCCAATAAAGACTTCAATCATCATAGGAGATTTTTTGTTTTCTCGGTTTTTTGTTTTTTTTTTGTTTTTTCCTTTAAATTTAGAACCTAAACATGTTTATAAATTAACTCCAGTCTACGTTGTTTGGAAGTAGCAAAATGGGTAATAACGTCATCGTAAAATTTATTAGAGTTTTGAAGAGATTTTAAAAGTTTTTTTTTCTATTGATATTTGAGACAAGCTTAACATTCTCTCTTTTTTCATGGTATTTCGACAATAATTTTTTATTCTTTTGAGGCAAGAGAAATCTCGTTCATTTGAGGCAGACGTTGGTGGTAATGAGAGAATTAATGACAATAATGTTGGATATAGATAAATAAATTTGAATATTTTCTAGAAGTGTCATCTATTGGCTACTTTACTAGTTGAATAATGTATCACTTTCCTTTTTTAGGGTAGTAGCAAAATTACAGTCATAGAGTAAACACGTGTTTCATTTTGTTCATCAAATCTCCATTTTTATTCCAGAACTTTATAATTTCTCAATAAATAATTTATTAATTTCGGTAACAGTTTGTTGTAATGAATTGCAATATATAAAATTATACATATCTTGTAACTTATCCCATCTTCCGAAAATATTTGGATCAGCATATAAAACTTTTAATTCATTTTCTAATTTTATTTTATTAAAGAATGATGGATAATTTTTAATCAACCTGTCTAATAAATATCTTGGAAATTCTTTGGCGTAACTTTTAAATTTTAAATCGTCAAAGAGGTCAAAAATTTGAAAATCTTCAAAATTCGAAAAACAAGTATCTATTTGCATAATAATATTGTCCAACATTTCAAAATATAGGTACTCGTTTTTCGAGATCTGTTTCTTTGTCATGCCTTTATTTTTTTGGGGGGGTTCGGAAATATCAAGCGAGTCCAAAACGTCACTGCGTATATACTGGAAATTACTATCATTACGAAAATCTGACTGAGATTTTGCACCAGTCTTGTTATTCTATTTTTGGAATGAATAATGTCAGTTAACTGATTTTGAACAACATTGAATATCAAATCGGTTTGGGTAAACACTTTCTTAAAAATATTTAAAAGTATGTTAAAAGAGTAATCATTTAATAAAGTTTTCAAACCAATTGCTTTATGGATCGAGATATCATCACTTTCAAAATCGTCACATTCAATAATAAAATCAAAAACTTTCAAAAGCTGTTCACGAAAATCTGCTACAGTGAAAACTACCCGAGATTTAAAATTCCATCGCGTCTGACAAACTGTTGGCATTTTTTTCGAAACAAACCGTTCTAAAACATTAGTCCGTTTAGGCAAGCTTGAGAAAAATGAAGCAAATCCGCTTAAACTGGCAAAAAAAAGACGACATTCTTTAATTTTCCTTACATGTATCTTGCAAAACTAAATTCATTCTATGCGCATGACAATGAGTAAATAAAGCTTGCGGTGCATAGTTTAACTTTTGCCTGGAGACCATTTAATTCACCAGACATCACGGCAGCGCCGTTATAAGTGTGCCCTACCAATTTATTTTTGATACCAAAAAATTTTAATTTGTCCTTTAAAACACCAAAAATATGTTCTGCCTTATGGCTTTTACTCACGTCTGTAAAACCTAAAAACCTCTCATAGATATTACCACGTAACGCGTATCGAACAACAATTGACTGCTCTGATTCATCGTGTCCCCTAAAAGATAATTCCTGACAACTTAAAAAAATTACAATAACTGCGTGATTATTTTTTACAATTTCGTTATGTTTAATAGCATTTTCACGTTGGGCATTATCTAATGAAACATGGATATTTTGTTTTCCAAATAAATCTAATTTAATCTGGCTGTAAGTATGATCTTTCATATGTATAACACGTTTATGTAAAGCCCTAAATAATTCCTTTAAATTATCGTAACCAGATTCACACCACGGATTTTGATGTTTGCCCCTATTTGTCGAAACTAAAATGCAAGGCCAACAAAAAAGTTTGTTTTTTATTTCACTCCCAGTAAGCCATGAGTACTTGCTGTACCAATTATCTGAAAATGATCTATTACTTCCCTTACCCGCACTAATATTTATAAGTCGGGACATTTTAGGCAAAGGACGCCCCTTATTTTTAATAACAATTTGTTCTTCGTATGGAATTGATGAAAACCCATTATGCAAAATATAATTTACAATATCAGACTTATCAATACTTACAGTTTCTCCCATGGCTTGCATTTTTTAGGTGTTTACTGAATTTGTTTACACTTTAATTAAAAAAAAAACTTCTAATATGTCAAAAAACCCTTTAACCGTTAAATATTTACGGCAGACGTAACGTATCACAATATTACTTTAGAAAATAAAAATAAATCACAAAAAGATAGGCTAGTTCGTGCACTGAATATAACTTCAGTTTACTACAAAAATGAAATAACATTTCGTCCACGCTCGCAATGTACAGTTCGCGACCAATCACCAATCCAAATGAAACATCGGCAAATGTAAATCTGCCGGACTTAGTAATTAAGTTCATATGGAAAGAAATGTATATTTGGTTGCTAATCAACCAATATTCCGTTGATTTTTACAAGTAAAGTCAAGGTTGGGATCGGCTAGCCGAAAAAACAAAACGTGCATTTTCAAGAATTCGTAGGCGGATGGATGTCTCCGATATCGGAACATTTATTTGAAAAGTGTCTACGCAAGGATCACTTAACGCTCAGATTGGACGAATTCTTTTAAAAACCATGAATAAAATTTAGTCTTTATTATCTCACAGATATTTTTTTAGTTCACAAAAACAAATGACATCAACTGATTACCTGCCACAATTATTTATTGAAATACTGATTAAATTAAATATTAAAATAATCTATAATATCTATAAAGATGTGGGTCGGCACTGCCGACCCTGCCGCCCCTGACCGGCCGCCACTGATTGATAATATCATTTTAAAGTCGTCTACTTTATGTATTAGTCGTCTAAAATGTATAATGTAGATTTGAATTGTCAATATAAATGAGTCTGATAAAATTAAATTATTAGCAGAATTTTCAACAAGTAACAAATAAACAAAATTTGTTTAATTTACCAATGTTTGTATTTTGAGAACGATTTCCGAAGTGGAAATTGAAACGTCAACTTAATTTAACCTTTAATTATGGCTTATTCCATTTAAATAGTAATCACTTTAAAATGCCACAAGAAAATAGCTTCAGAACATTATTAAATTGTTTTGACTAATATTAATTACGTAAATATCTATATACAAATATATAAATATCTTCTATATAAAAGAATTTTTTATGTAAATGAATTTCCAAATTTGGAACAAGTATGATTTTATTTTCATATAAGTATTTCTCATTCTTAATCTAATGCCAAGATATAAAATGGTTGTTTTCTTACTAAATTATTTTAAGTTTGAAGCACTTCTCATTTGTAATTTAATACTACGTAAAAACGAGACTACTTATTTTTTTTTCCGGGATGACGTAATTCTCCCAGAATCTTTTAATAAGTTTTTGTTCGTTACAAAATAATAAATGTTAGCTTTGTTTTAAAATTTTCATTTTATTTCTTTGTCTGAGGTTTCCTTGCGAGGGTAAACTATTAAGGTATGGTGTCCAATTCATTTTAATTTTAAAGAAAATACCAACAGCTTATTTATTAATTTTGAAAGAATCAGACCCAAGCTCTTCCCGACACGAGCAAAAGAGCCTAGAATGTTTATGTACGTAAATAGTTTGATTATGTTACAACACTTACCACGGGACATAGACCGTATGTTGTATGTTGCCGGTATTATGCTTTTCTATAATTTTGAACTGAGCTCTTTTTGTAATTTCCTTAGAAATATCTTCATAGAATTTCTCAATTGTTTCATCTGTTGTACCTTTCTGATAGTTTAAGAACGATGTGTAAGACCCTCTCAGAGATTGCAGCAGTTTTTGTGACCAGATGTTTGATTCTTTGATGAACCAATAGTGGTACACCGTCGATATGTGTATTGTACCTTTTATGGGACTTTTAGAACATATGTTCAGAATGGAGTATTGTACATTGTTCTCCTAATAGTCTCATTTGACTTAGACCAAGGACATCCCATTTGTTCCTAGTTAGTTGTTCTTCTAGTTCATCCATTCTTTCAGGTGATTTGAGGGTTATGACATTGAAACTGGCAATATAAATGTATCCGATGTTATATTGAGTTTTTGCCTCTCCCAGATTCCATGAGGCTGGCCTCCTTAGAGGTGTGAGATTAAGTACTTACCTGGCGATCAGATCCTGTTGTTTTAAAACGGATTTGAGATTTGGGTATGATAATAATGGGGTTTGGGCCTGGTTTCGTCGAAGTAAGGTGTAGGCAACTCGCGTAGGCAAGGATGCTTTATCTCTGAAGTATATATATATATATATATATATATATATATATATATATATATCCTTGAAATATAGTCTTTAACGGATGTACAACGTGAAAAATATAAACGAGTTTTTATTTGAAATCTTTATTCCTTTCAATAGTGAAAATGTAGGAATGTCTTTATTCAATCCAACATATTGTATAATCATTATATTCAATAATATTATTATTTAGATAGTTTCTATCTTTTTAGGGTATGGGTTTTGCTATGCTAGGAAATGTACCACCGGTAATTGGAATATACATGGGAATATTTCCGGTTTTAATCTACTTTGTTTTAGGCACCTCAAGACATGTCAATCAAGGTATTTTTACATATTCTTGTGAAACTTTATCTAAAACATTTACTTTTAAGGTACTTTTGCTGTTACATGTCTTATGACTGGAAAAGTGGTTAGTCATTATGCTACTATTACCATAAAAGAAGTTAAAGATGCCTATGAACCAAAAGAGGGATATACAAATATTCAAATTGGTGCAGCGGTTACTTTTGTTGTAGCTTTTATCGAAGTAAGTGTTAAATATGTTTAATTACATATGTCTAGTTTAGTTACCATCTGGCAAAATAAAATAATCTCTAGCCAAATTTCTGGTAAGGTGAACCGGGGTAAATGTGACATATAATTGCTCTACATAGCGTAAAAGTGAAGCTGTAGACTAAAATTTTAAATTAATAGATTTCCTTTTTTTACAAACAGAATCAAAAATTACAAAAAAAATCAAATAAAGTCCATTGGTTTACACTTCTCCGTATTCTGGGGCAAATGTAGACTACTAATGTTTTCTAGGTTATAGAATGCAATATAATTGTCAGGGTAAGTGAAAATAAACCGCAAGTGTCTTCTTAACAATTAAAAAAATCACAAAAAATATAACATAAACCCTTTGGCTGTGATCAAGTTATTTGAAGCGCTCCTTAAACTTTCGCTAAATAAATCGAACTTAAAAATACGTGTATCGAAGCATTTTATTGAATCAAAAGCGACTAACTACTAAATAATTATTACAGAACATGAATACATAACTTTAACTTAAAAAAAGGGGAAAGAAACAAATTTAACAAGAAATTATTCTAACCTACTGCAAACGTTAACTGATTATTCCTACCACACGTAGGTTCGGGTAAACATGAAATGATGTCTCTATCTGCGAAATCGATAATATAATCTATTACTGGCCACCTAAAAGTTAAAATAGTTTTGGAAGTTCTCCTTGTTAATTTTATACTATATGACCCATATTCATTCGGAATCCCATCTACAACCTGATTAACACAGTATATGATAGTTTTTTTACTGGCAATCATAACAAGCACCCAGTGTCCAGCGTTGATAGCTGAAATGTTTCTATTTACCGACTCCATGAAAACATTCTCTTGTTCTTGTGACTCAAGTTCGTTTTCAAGATCACTCACACCGGAATCAAATAATTTATCTGGTTCTTCTTCTGATTCAACAATTATTGGCTTGCATGACTTTGGCTTTTTTCTACCTTTGTATGTATGAAGTGATTTGATATTTTCTTTTTTATTTTTCTTGGCCTTTACATTTTGTTCTCTGCACCAAAACAGACAAGTTTTCATTTCATACTAGATGAAGGTTTTTGTTTAATCTCTTTCTTCTTCTTCATGTGCCAAGCTCGATTATAAAGCGTTGGCTATGAAATTGGCTATAGTAATTTTGTTGACGGCAGCTCGGAAGAGAGATGCAGAGGATATGTTAAATCAATCTCTTAGGTTTTTTAAGCCATGACGTTTTTCTTCCACCTGGCCTTCTTCCGTCTATCTTGCCTTGTATTATTAAATCTTCTTCTTCTTCTGGTAGCACTACAACCCGGGGTGGGTCTTGGCTGACTGCACAACCTGCTTCCATCTCGAACGGTCGTCCATGATGTTTAAGTCAGTGGGTAGCCCCATTGTTCTCAAATCTGACCATATATTATCTCCCCATCGCATTCGTGGACGTCCTAAGGGCGTTCTCCCTGTCGGGACTTCTTCTCAGATTAACTTAATAAGGCGGTTATTAGGGAGCCTATGAACATGGCCAGCCCATCTTAGACGTTGGGATTTAATCTCTTGGACTACGTCGCTAGCACTATACATTTGTTTGACCTCGGCATTTGTTCTCATTCGGTATTGGTTAGTATTCGGATCGTGATAGGGACCAAAGATCTTTCTGAGGATTTTTCTCTCAAAGCATCTGAGTTTACTTTCCATTGATTTTGTCAGCGTCCACGTCTCACACCCATACATGAGCACCGGTCTAATTACTGTTTTATATATCCTGATTTTTGATGTTCGTGTTAGGCTCTTGAATTTAATAGTGTTATGGAGGCTATACATACATCTGTTTGCCGCCTGAATTCTCCCTTTTATCTCTTCCGTGATATCGTTATCTGTGGTGATAGTCGCTCCGAGATATTTAAAACTCTCCACTCTTTCAAAGTTATAGGGGTCTATTGTTATATTTTGTCCTATTCTATCTCGTCTCTTTTGTCTGTTAATGCACATATATTTGGTTTTCTCTTCATTGACCCTTAGACCGGTATTTTTTGCCTCTCTCTCTAATTTATACAAGGTTTCTTTTACATTGGTGACGGTATTTCCTACAATGTCAATGTCATCCGCGTATGCTAGTAGTAATTTTGGTCCATTTACTGTCAGTAGTTCTGTTCTAATTTGTGCGGTTCTTACTACTTTTTCCAGGATTATATTAAAAAGAAGAGATGACAGAGCGTCTCCTTGTTTCAGTCCACTGTTTATTTCAAACGACTCTGAGAGCTTGTTACCTATCCGCACTCTAGATCTACAGCCATTTACACAAACTTACGTATTATTAAATGGTGTATATTATATCTCTCTGGGTGGCGCATAACATGGCGCAAAATATTCAAGTTCAATGACGACTTCCGTAACTTTTCCCATCCGATGCAAAACAGCTTATTCGTAGGATTCTCTGATACACCCAGATGTCAAAGGCTTCCAGTTTTTCGAGAAGTGTATCCGTCAAAGTCCAACCTTCGACACCATACAAAAGAGTAGAACACATAACATCTCACTAGTCTAATTTTCAGACTTAAAGTAATATTGTTTCCACATAGCAGTTTCTACATCTTAAAGAATGCAGCTCTGGCCTTCTCCATCCGTATTCTAATTTCTTTGCTCATGTCCCAGTTCTTATTTAGATTACAACCAAGGTAAGTGATACCGTTAGTTCTCTCCATTTGTTCACTATAAGCTGTTACCACTTCCGGTTGTATTGGCGTTTTACTGATGACCATCACCTTTGTCTTTGCGGTGTTTAGCTTAAGGCCATATTCATCACACGTTGTGGTAATCCTATTAATTAGATGTTGAAGTTCTTCGTAATTGCGTGCAATTAACACTGTGTCATCCGCATATCTCAAATTATTAATATTGACGCCATTCATTTTTATATCACATTGAACATTATCCACTGCTTTATTAAAAACGAACTCAGAATAGATACTCCTCTTCGTATTTGAAGCTCTTCAGAAGTGTCTCGGCCAATCCTGATATTTGCACGTTGATGCCAATAAAGATTTTTAATAATGCGTAGGTCTTTATCATCAATACTTACCTGCTAATGAATGGCTATCATTTCAGTATGTTTTACTCGATTAGGCCTTCTCAAAGTCAATAAAACACATATAAACTGGATGTCCGACATCTCTGCATCTCTGTACCATAACCCGAATACTAAATAGTGCTTCTCTTGTTCCAAGGTTATTGCGGAATCCAAACTGTGTGTCACCAAGTTGTTGTTCTATTTTTTTGGTACATCCTAGAGTGCAAAATTCGTAGAAATATCTCTAAAACATGACTCATCAAGCTGATGGTTCGGTAGTCACTACATCTTTTTGCATTTGCTTTTTTAGGTATCGTCACAAAAGTCGACAGCAAGCAAGCAAGCAATTTGATTGAACCCAGTCTATGAGAAATGTTCACCCAGGTAGTACGATCGGGTGTAACAATTCATTGGAGCAAGGTGTGTTAACTCGAGTAAAAACAGGAGTCACCCCACCGTGCTCCAATGCTCTAGACCATCCCTTTCCCCCCTATAGCAATCTGATTCGCTATAGAGGCACAACAATCAGCCAAATGCTCTTCATGTGGAGGTCCTGGGTAATAGAACCCCAACATGGTTTCCTTACCGAATGCAAAAACTCAGGACAGCGCATCTCGGCTATATTCCTGTTATCTTAATATGGCTTATCCGCGAACTAAAATTGCTTACTTGGGCCTCAAGTCTCCGCTCTGAGTCCCGGCTCAGTTCGGCGACTTGGTGCTCAAGGGGGTTGGGCCCTACGTGCCCGGGTTTTGGGGTTTTTGATAGTTTTTTTGGTGGCCGAAGCCGGTTTTTTGTGTTTTTTGTAATTTTTTTTGTAGGTGACCTGTGGACAAAAAATCATAATTAGTGTATAATCTATATTATAATAAGGAAAATATATAAATATTATACGATACCATAATACAGATTGTATCCTAGTTGAGCTGCTGGGCCCACTGTGAACGAGGCGATGTGCGATAATCTGGGCAAAAGTCGACAGCCGCCAATCCGTTGGTATATAGCCAGTTTCATAAATTTCACAATTTTTGGGTCTTTGTTAATCGTACTGCTTGTTCAATTTCGTCCATAATTATGTCAGGTCCTGTAACTACTTCGTTAATTTCAAGCTCGGGCCTTTCATCACTAAACAGTTCCTCAATATACTCTTTCCATCTGTCTATTTGATGCAATTTAGTGATAATCAGTTTTCCGTCTCTATCAACGATGTTATTTGCCTGTTTTTTGTTCTGACCTGACAGTTCTTTTATTTTTTTTATACATATTAAATGAATCATGTTTTCCCTGTAACTCTTCAATTTCTAAACATTAATTTCTTTTCGAAATATGTTTGTTTTGCAGCTCTTATTTTATTCCTTATTTCTTTATTAATTACTTTATACATTTCGACGCTTTGGTTCTTAAAATTGCGTCTTTTTTCCATCAAATTCAAAATCTCATCGTTCATCCACTGTTGCTTTATTTGACTACTCTCTTTTAAGTGTGTAGTTGAGTTGCTTATAATCGTTTTGATTTGGTTCCAATGACCCTCGATGGATTCTTGTTGTTCATAATTCTCAAAATTGCTCTCTAAATTTTGTTTAATAGTTTCGAATATTGTATCTTCAAAACTTCTTAAGCGGAATGAATTTTCTTGTGTGGTTTCTGGTTCAACATCATTTTGTATGCTGTTAACTGATACTGATGACTCAATTATTTTTTGTATTTGCTTCATATTTGGGCTTAATGATGATGGTATCTTTGCTAGGCTTCGCTTTTTATCGTCAATTATTGTAGTTGAGGTACTGGCAGTTTGAACCATGTCTGCATTGATTTATCCACCGCTGATAAATTTGAGGCTTAAATAAATCCTTGTGGATAATTTGATCATTAAACGGGACTATACCAGCTTTTTTAAAATCATTTATTATGATAGTGGGTTTG